AAGGTCTTTTCCAACCTTGATGATTCTGTGGAAGTTGTATAGCTAAGCTAACTGCAGATAGGTACAGTTCTTTATATCCAGAAGAGATGAGATACAAAGCTACCTAAAGTTAAGTTACTTATTTAAATCATTTCAACTCAGTTTGAAAGGTCTGTGTAGTGAGATGCCACAGGATAAAATGTACTACTTTGTTACTATGATTTTTTTGCAGAGACACCCAAAAATGGATTTTTTTTCCCCATTTGCTGATAAATAATATGTATTTAAATGTCCTTCTGACTGTGGATGAGACTTTGATCCCTATCTCTCCTTTGATCCTAACTCCCAACTGAGTTTTCTGACAGTATTTGTTTCTAATCTGAACACTGGTAAATGCTTACTTGTAATTTACTTTGGTTTTTTTGTTTGCTTCAATCAAGGCTTATGGTCTCCTGAACAGAAGTCAGTTTCTAAACATAAAACTAGCAGTAAGATTACTTGCTGTAGGTAAGTTTTAAGGATTACCTCTGTCATTGAAGTCAGTTTCAATACAAACAATTCAAAATAATAGCAAGCTTAAAGAAAAAATATTCAGGTGAAATAGTTCAACGTATGCAGAGACAGTACCTAGTAGTATGAGAGAGGCTCTCCTGCCTTGCTGTTCAGTAGCATTGTGTACTTAATGCTGCTTCGCCATTCTCATCATTAAGATACCTGAGTAGTATATATAATGCTCCAGTAGGAATATGACTAATATTTGTCAAAGATTATTTGTTCTTCTTTGTGTAGTCTTCTCAGAGAGAGCTTTTTTCTTTTTTTTTCTTTTTTTAATAGCAAAGGGTTTTGGTTTTTGTTTGGTACTGTTTATAACTGAATTCTTCTGAAAGTATCAGAGAGGTGTTCTGGTCTTGAGCAAGTGTCTTAACTTCTCTCGCCCTCTGTTTAGCTGTCTTGTGCAATAACAATGAAATAAAGTTAGAGGAAAAATAATTATACTTTTTGTTTGTAGAACTGTTTATCTTCTGCGTTGTCAGTATTTTCAGTAGAAGGAGATAGTGCCATTAATGGGGACCTGAAGCAAGGGTACCTTAATTTGTGTAAAGTCATCCAGCTAACTACAGCAGAGACAATAGAAACCAGGTCTCCTCTGTCCCAGCACCATGCGGTTTGATCTGATCAGTGTTCTAAATGTGGCTTTTAAAAGAGTTGGGTCTACTGCCAACACTGTCATTCCCAAAATGTATCTGTTACGTAGCACATGTTAGAAGTATTGCAAGCAGATGATAGCTTTTTTTTTATTTCTACTTTTTTTTTATTTCTGTGTATATTATAAAATGTTCTTGCTGTAGTGCATGCTGTTGCCATAAATGTGGATTTAGATGCATAAACAAACTGTAGGATTGCTGGCTATCTCCCAGAACTCCCTCTTAGAAGTGTATTTCAATCTATCATCCCTGTTTGAGTATGCTGTACCATCCTACCTTCCTGCTGCTTGTTTTTAGTAGTTTGCTCTTCAGTATGTGTGTGTTTTATCAGCTGGACAAATGATGGCCAGTACCTTGCTTTGGGGATGTTCAACGGCATTATCAGCATAAGGAATAAAAATGGTGAAGAGAAAGTTAAAATAGAGCGTACAGGAGGTGCTTCATCTCCAATATGGTCAATTTGTTGGAATCCATCCAGGTAAATCATTTCATCCTTCCTTTTTTTTCATGCTGAATAGATAATCCTTGGCTTATTGATTGCAGAAAGGCTTGACTTTTATCCCTTTTGAAACAGATTAATGCTGTGTACATTACCTTTTTTTAAGTGATTATGTATTGGGGTTTTGGCTTTGCTGTCAGTCTTTAATTGAATGGAAAAACTGTGAACAAGTTCCACTTAGATCTTGAGAAACATTTATTTTTTCTTTTGTATTGTTTTTTGTTGGGGGGGGTGTCTGGTTTGATTGAGAGGAGAGAGGAGAGCTATTTTTTCACTTCAATTCAGAGGGAATATGGTCCCAAATATGTGAATAAACAATTGCTATTGCAGTAGGTGGGAGAATTTTTGGAGTAGAGCAGATGAACAAGAGGAGTCAGTTCACAGCTATTTAGAGGAGATACTGGTACTGAAATCCAGGCCTGGCAGTAGGCAGTATAGTGAGACAGAGGGAGAAGACCATGAGGAAGAAGAGACCTCTATGGATTTCAACTTGTGAGTCAAACATCAAAGGAACATATATATCTATATTATCTAGAACAGTTATTTAGAAAAAGGACCAAGGGCAGAGGGTATTATGCAGGGTATAAAATCAGATTTTCAACAGTTGAGAAATTCTAGATGAACAGTTGCCTGTATGGTCTTAATTTATTTTGCTATTATGGGTTCATTATGGGATAGTTCTTAGGTATGTGATAGCATGTTCCTTTTCCCCACAGGTGCATACATCATGCATTGAGCAAAGGGAGGGTGCTTACTAAACAGTTAACTTCTCATTGGGGTTTTTGTCTGGTTCCTTTTTGTTCAGTTTATGGCTAGAGGCCTTATTTGCAGCAGAATGTTGAGATTACCATTTCCGTTCTTTCTAGGCAAGAAGCTGTGGAGAAGGTGACTCTCATGTTTTGCTCCAAGCTGAACAGATCGTGTCAGAGTACCAAAGTTAACAAATTTGAGACCTGAAGCTTTTCCTTGGTCTGCTGCTGGTCTCACAGGAATTTTTTTTTTTCCCTGCCTGACACTGATAATTGTAGTTCACTCTTGCTCAGCTGTGTTGACTTTGATGTTATGGTGGCTTTGTGCTACCGTAGTGTAGATCAGAATCTGGGCCCAGGTGCTTCATCTGTTAAGGGACTGTTAGCTTCCCTGTACCCACTGCTTATATATCTGTATGTGAAGTGATACATCAAGCTTTGCCATTATTTGTGTAAAGGAGACTGATTTTTCTTTTGTGTCTCTAAGCAGTCTTCCTCAGTTTTAAATGGCAAGAAATATCTACTGTCCTTTCAGTTTGTGTTTTTTTAAAGAGTAATATGAAGTATATTCTGCTATCCTATTACTTGGTTCTATTGTTCTAAGAAGTTTATTAATAAATAGCTGTAGAATTACTATGTAAATTTTTTTTTTTTGTTTTGTTTTTTGTTTATTTGTTTTTTGTTAGAGATGAACGCAATGATATTTTAGCTGTGGCAGACTGGGGTCAGAGGCTTTCCTTTTACCAGCTTAGTGGCAAACAGGTATGTTTTAGAAAGTGCATTCAGGAGTGGCAGGGCACTTCTGATTCTGTTTCGTGTCCTGTATTACAAGTGTTTTATACTAGTGCTTTATTAGCTACATTAAATGTTTTCTGTTTTCCCAACCTTTTATGAGTCTGCTTTTTTTTTAAACCATCTTTTGTTTCTCCCATGGCAACTCAGCTGCTGTCTTACAATTCTTGTATTAAAGCCCTTACAACTTTGCTGACTTTTGTGATACAGTTTGCTGGTCTGTAGAGGACATCTTTGTATTTTTTTCAAACAGTTAAAGGGGGATTTGCGAGTTGCTTGTGTTCCGAGTGGACTGGTTTGGAACTGGAGGGATTCTTGGATGTATTTTAGAACTGCCTTTAGGAATCCTAATGTAGCCAGTGGTTCTGGGGTATTGAAAAGTTGTGCATAGCTAGAAAGATGAGAAGAATGGTATCAGTTATGGCACTGGTTGCCATGGGAAAATATGAAATGATACTTTTGTTAATGTTTTTGATTTTTTTTTTAATTTATTTTCCCTTATAGATTGGAAAGGACAGAATGCTCAGTTTTGATCCTTGCTGTGTTAGCTATTTTACTAAAGGAGAGTATATTTTACTGGGAGGTTCAGATAAACAAGTTTCCCTCTTCACGAAGGATGGCGTGCGTCTTGGTACCATAGGAGAGCAAAGCAGTTGGGTGTGGACGTGCAAAGTTAAACCAGACTCCAACTATGTGGTGAGTAGGAACATTTTTCTGCCATTTTCACAGACAGTTTGTCATGTAAGGTAAGGCCATAGATTTCAAACTCAGTTTCTTACTTGAGACATTCTTACTGAGGCAGCAGAACCTAAGCAGTGTCAGTGTCTAGTGAGGTTCTAGAACTACCACTGAAATTTAAAATATCCTGCAGAAGTAAGAAGGCTGTAAATTAGCGTAACACTCATTTTCAGATGGTATAGCATTTGCTGCATTTTGATTAAAAAAGAGGAGGGAAAAGAAGGAAAAAATGGCAGCTAGTAACTTTGAGGTTGCCCCAATCTCATTCCATGATGGGAAGCAAGTGTTCATATCTGAGTTTCTAGTGTTACACCTTGTGGAAAATGCCCACAAGGCAACCATAAATGCCATCAATGCTTCACTCTGTGTCATTGTACAAATGTGAAGAGATACAGAGCGAGTTTAAAAACAAACACACACCACCACCACCACCAAAAAAACCTCAGCAACAAAATCAAACCAAACCCTACCCACCCAACATGGTGGTCTGCGTAGTCTATGCTGAGATCAGTCCTCATTTTGCATTTCACTTTTACCACTGTCTAAGTACAGGCAGGCTGTAATTGGTATCAATCTATAAATTATGCAGGAAAAGGAACATTATGTTCATATAAATAACTACACCTTTTGCCAATTCTTACCTACATGTACCAATTAACTCAAATTATTTTCTTCTTGTGTTCAGGCAGTAGGATGCCAAGATGGAACAATATCTTTTTATCAGTTGATTTTCAGCACTGTTCATGGCCTTTATAAAGATCGCTATGCTTACAGAGACAGCATGACTGATGTTATTGTCCAACACCTCATCACTGAACAAAAAGGTAATTTCACATTTGCAGTCAGGCCAAAGCTTCATTCTCATTCTGTTTTGTTTTGGTTTTAATTAATAACCATCAGAACACTGGGAATATATGCTGCATGTACCAGACAGATTGTTGCCACTTTGACAGTAAAACTGAGGAATACTGTTTGCAGGATGAGTGTGTAAACTTGGATTCTGGAGGATCAGTGCCGACAAGCTTCATAAAAGATGGGGGATTTGAAAGGACACTGGGGGAGGCAGAGGCTTTTAAGATAAGGTTTTAATCTCTGTGAATGAGATAAAAATGCTGTACATCATATTTAGCTTTTTTCTTTTTCTTACTTGCAGCCTCAAGGGTTTGTGCTGATTTTGTTTCTTTGTATCCACTGGCTTTTTCTGGCAAGGAGTCAGAGTATTGCTCCAGAATGTGCTGTTGACAAATAGTGGAGGGTGATAAATTGTGGCAGGGATGGTAGATTATATAGATGCAGAACAACAAACGTATCCAAGCAGGAATCTGCTTTTAATTTGAGAGGTGCTTTGGAAAGATTCAATTTTAATGTATTAGTAAGTTTTCTGATTTCTGTATCCATTATTTTTGTGTCAGCCTATACTGTATTGTTTTTGTGTTTTTTCTCTCTAGTTAGAATAAAAGGCAGAGAGCTTGTAAAGAAAATTGCAATCTACAAAAACAGATTAGCAATCCAGATGCCAGAGAAAATCTTGATTTACGAGTTATACTCGGATGATTCTTCAGATATGTATTATCGGGTGAAGGAAAAGATAGTAAAAAAATTTGAATGCAACTTGCTGGTTGTGTGTTCCGATCACATTATTTTATGCCAGGTATGTGCCTTAAAGTCTAGAGTAGTCTTGGGGTACACTCAGACTTGTAGGAAAAGATTGTGCTGGATAATCTATTACAGTTTTTCCCCAAGGTACCAATGTGTAGTGCTGTTGTAATGTGCAGTACTTCGAAGCAATAGCCGTGGCATGCCACAGGTGTCCCTGTTTCAGTAAAACAGTCTCTGTAGGGAATTTGATAAATTAGCACATAATCCAGGGGAATGTTTGGGTGAGCGTGAACTACTAGAAAAAGGTGTGGGTTTTTTTACTGTGTTTGTTTATTTGTAGCATTGGAAAGCCTTAAAAAATTCATCCTGTTAAACTGACTGTTTGACTTTATGATTTTATAGGTAAAAGTAGGCCCGCATGCTAGTATAGGTATAAACATAGCACATCAAAGACACAGTGGTTTTATCTTTACCTCCATGCAGTATTTTGTATGTTTTTGTGTCTTTAGGAGAAAAGATTACAGTGCCTCTCGTTTAGGGGCATTAAAGAACGAGAATGGCTGATGGAATCTCTTATTCGTTATATTAAAGTAATCGGAGGACCTCCAGGAAGAGAAGGCCTCTTAGTTGGTCTAAAGAATGGTCAGGTAACACATAATGTCTGGTATGTGCCTTTTCACTGCAAATGAAATCTGTTCTATGGTCTTAGGGGGAGACCTTAGGAGCAGGATGCTCTTTTACAAATGAGACTTTTATTTGACAGAGTCTCATCTTGTGTTTAAAAACTAACTACTTCTCTTTCACGTTCTCTGGCTGTAAAATTCATACAAACATGTTTAACTTTGTCTAAGGTGTGTAAGCGGTTAGGAACAACTGACAAAAATTGAGTTCTTGATGAACTGAGAGAACATTTGTCCTTAGTGAGGGTTGGGGTGTGAGTGTGTACACTTCTCCTCATGACCACTTGTGAAGGTGTGGATGTTCTAGAGGTTCACAAGCCAGTTAACATCTGAAAAGTTCAAACTGGAGCCCAGAGGTATTGATACAGAGAGGAAGTTGAGATCCTTTGTGTGTCCTATATCTATACTATATATTCCTGTAATATTACAGTAATGTAATTGTTTAACTAGTGGAGCATTAAAAAATCCAGGATGTATAGCATATGTTTTATTTGTCTAGGCTTGCAACCTACAGTATCTTCTGGAAACAAGTCAAGATATCTCAAACTGAAAGCATTTCCTTAATTTTGATGCACAGATTATCACTGGAAAAAAAATTGCAATTGCATGCTTTAAACAGTGTTAAAGTTTGTACCTGCTGTGCTATTTGTAGTTTTAGGAACAAAAATGGATGGACTGACTTTGGTTTCAAATATGTCTAGATTCTGAAGATATTTGTCGATAATGTCTTTGCAATTGTCCTGCTGACGCTGTCTGGATATGAGTGCATCCCGAAACAAGCTGGCAGTGGTTGATGAAAACGATACCTGCTTAGTGTATGATATTCATACCAAAGAGTTGTTGTTTCAGGTAAAACTGAAAAGTCTTAAAGGGGGGATGGGGGTGGGGTGGAGGAAGTCATTTGGAGCACAGAACATACCACATGTTGCTGTGCAGAAATTTATATAACTGTCGTTTAAGCCATTAATCACATTTTGTAGGATATAACTGTGATCTATTTCTCTATCAAAGCTACCCTTTTAGAGATGGTAGACAAGGAATTAGAAGACAGGAGATATATGTGAGCAACAGCTGAATAAAGAGCATTTAAATGTGTGACCTTTTCAATTTAATTTCAAATTCTGTCCTGGTTCCCTTTGAAGCATTACAGTTAATGAGCATTTTGGCTTTATCATTAGTATGAACAGAATTAAAGCCTAAACGTCTTTGTTTGTCGTGTATTCCCAGACTATAAAATGAATAATGGTAATTCTGTCTTCATTGGCAGTTTAGCAGTCACTGTAAGGGTTCACTAATGTTGATGAAACATTTTCAGAGAACACTGGATAGAAAGTATGAAGTGCTACAAAGATAGGGTCTGTAACTTTCTTTTTGTTACGGGCAGAAAAATGATCAATTAAGTGTGCTAGCTGACTAACAGTGTATTATTGTGGAATTTTATATTATGTTCTACAGTTTGATAGTATAGATCAAGATCATCAGTAAATACAAAACAATTACACCTGTTTATTAAAATGTAAAATATGTCCCTATAAATCTATTTAAGAATATACTAGGCTTTAGAATATTACAAATGTAAATAATAAGTGTGTGTGTGTGTACACACCCAGGCTATAATAGGATGAAGGATGCAGATTTCTTAGGAAAGAAGATGTGATTGCATCTGTTGTAATCATCAGTTATTTTGCTTGTTAGGAACCCAATGCCAACAGTGTGGCTTGGAATACACAGTGTGAGGATATGCTTTGCTTTTCTGGAGGGGGTTACCTCAATATCAAAGCTAGTAACTTCCCTGTCCATCAGCAAAAACTTCAAGGCTTTGTTGTGGGTTACAACGGCTCCAAGATCTTCTGTCTTCATGTTTTTTCTATGTCAGCTGTTGAAGTTCCACAGGTAATCCTTTAATCTCATTAAGTGTTGCTTTGCATTTCATAAACACCAATGTTTAAGAAGTAAAGAAGCTTTTCTGAGATTTACCCTTATTCCATTACCAAAATGATTGCACTTCACACTTTCTTCATCATGTTTAAGTTATATTGCATGATCAATTTTATTTTTATTTGGCATTAATTAATCTAACTTCCTTTTTGCTGTTGTTGATTGTTGTTTCTAATTCTCCATTTCTACTTGCAAATGCACATAATCTAAAAGCAAAGATGAAGATATGGTGTGGGTGTTACCTCTTGTAGTTTTGCCGTAGTCTCTCTATATACCTTTTCTCGAGTTGTAATTTCATTTTTCCTACGAATACATCAAATACTTCCTTACTGTTGCTTCATTTAGATGTGTTTAGGCAATATTTAAGCTGTATATTTTAGTCTGAATGTATAGTACATGTGCAGTCTTTATATTCTAAATTTAGAGATGGCCTTCTACAAAATAGTGTTTTCTGTGTTATGGGAAGCAATTAAAAAGTCTAAACGGTCCAAGAAACAAATCAAAAAAAGGAAAAAGGAAAAAAAAACCACCACCACAATTCTGACTTACACACCCAAGTATGGGCAGGATTGAAACTGAGAGTCAGTGAAGAAGGCAAAAGTGCCATGTGCTTCTATCAATGAATGGCTGCTTGTGTTACAGACCCCTGTCCGCTCCTCCGAGGCATTGTGCAGATCCTTAATTAGGCTTTGGGTTGTCCAGTGTGGTTGACAGCCATGAGACCAACCTGGCCTCGAACCCTCTTTGTCTGGCTTTGGCATGCTGTAGGCACCGATATGCCACAAAATTACTGTGAAGTATCACAGAGGCAGTTTTTTCAAAGGTATGATTTTGGAGGGAGGGAGTACCAAAAAGTATAGATTTTCAGATAGATTGATTAAAGCCATAGAAATCAATCTGCACACTGTCTTTGGTTGCAAACCCAGAGGTAATCTATCTGCTGTGCTCCCTGTTCATTCAAAGGGTTTGAGCTGTAGCTGCAGATCCTGAGCCTTAGTCTATCTGTGTCAGTGTGCAGTTGACAGTTCCTCCCTTTAATTCCTTTTTAGGGCAGGTCCTTGAGGTCGGTGTCTTTTGGGCTTAATAGTCTCACTTGGTAAAACAGCTTTGTCATCAGGCTTGGCACAGAAGGGCTAGTTCCTCATGATACCTCTTCGTGTTGTGTTTTGAATATTTCCAGGGATGCTTCACGCTGAGCTGTTGTGCCACTTTTCCAGATACTCCCTCCTTTGCTCTGCTTCCACAGTATTTTAAAAAAAAAAAGCTCATTGTACATAATATTTAGCATGTACAATGCTCAGAAGAATTCATATTTTTAACTAATTCCTAATATGCAAGGAACTGAAGATTTCAAGATGGATGTTTGGAATATAATTAACCCAGCTTGTCTAAAGATAGAATAATAATCACCCCAGAATGTTGTTCTGTCTGTTACACAAAAAGCATACATTTACTCTCTCTGGAGCTTGTAATGGTTGTGATTGGAATGTATTTTTGTTTTCCAGTGTATATAGAGAATTTCAATAATGTATCTCAGTATTATGCTTTCTAATACATGTTTTCCAATGGAAATCCTCAGTCTGCACCCATGTATCAATATCTGGAACGAAAAATGTTTAAAGAAGCCTATCAAATTGCATGTTTGGGAGTAACTGATACTGACTGGAAAGAACTGGCCATGGAAGCCTTAGAAGGGCTGGAGTTTGAAACTGCTAAAAAGGTAAAGCAGATATTTACTTATTTATCTGAAAGCTTGTTTTATATATATATTTTTATATATATTGTGTGTGCATCTAATGTATGTTTTATGGCTGGAATACAAAGTGGTGTTCCTGGGTTACTCTCTTGCTTGTCTTTAGTGTATATATGTTATTCCACGTACCAAAGAAAATGTTGGTTTTTATATACTCAGGATCTTGAGATGAGGTTTTAAACAGAAATCGAATTTATGTCTCTAGATAAATGCCGTGTTCTAAATCAAAGTGTTAAATGCAAAGAAAATGGTTTCTTTCATCTGCTGGAAAATGCGTTAATGAATTTGAGGGAAGTAGAACGGGAAAGTTGTTCAACGGTGCTGCTGACCACTGGGTGGCAGCAAAGAATGCTTTAGCTGACTTGCCCCCTTCCCCGAGGCTGTGAACTTGCTCTGTTCTTCCCCGAGTATTTCATATAACCTCACTTCGTACGTGGAGGTTTCATATTCCTTGTTATTTACACTTCTTTGAAGGCAATGGCGATGAGATGTCATAATTTTAGTAATCTTCTATCTGGAATGTCTTGTTTTTGGGAGTGGTCTGTAAATGGGGATATACTGAAGAACAGTTTCTCTGGCATAAAATACTTCCCTATTTTCTTTCACCACCTTTTCCCAAATACGAGAGGGCAAACTGAGTTCAATGTCATGAATATTGTATGAAAGACAAAACACTCTAAAAATACACAGGCAATGACCTGTAATGATAGGCATCTTCTAATAACAGATTTTTTTAAGAGGAAATTAAATGCTTTATTTTTTTTTCCTGAAGTGGAAGCATCAGAATAATTCCAGTTTCATAGATGGCTTTATGCAAATAGATACTCTTAAAAAGAAGTTTTCAGTGCCTCCTTGGAATTTTAAAGTAGTGCCCTCTTAGAATTAGAGCGGATTAATTTGAACAAAAGCAGCTTCTTGACATTAAAGGCTCTCATAGTTCTAGTCCAATCTGCTTTAAGCAGAATATTCTATGCCCTTTTTAAGCATTAGTTTGGTTAGAAGTCTTGAACATGTGGTCTAAAGAGTTAAATTTCTATTTTTTGATGCGTGTCAAGAATAAGTGCTAAGCTGCTGTAGCTTACACGTGACTTTGCCACTTGAGACTTCGGGTTGCACATTTATCTCCATTTGCAAAAGATATTACACGTCTTGCAGTACTTTTATCTTATCATCTTCTTACTTCCTTTCCTCTCCCTGAGCTACTTCCATACTGAGTTTTCAGAATGGTGTAAAAACTATAAGCATATGCAGTATGCTTTGGCAATATGATCAATTATATGTTCTACCTTGTAATAGTTTCCTTAAATTTCTTTGTCTGTATCGTCCCCCACATCAAAATGGAAAAGCTATAAAATAGCCAGAGTAAAAGTATGTAGTATTTTAAATGGTATTTTCTATTCCTTGTAGGACTGACATACGTACACGCACGTCCTGGCTCTTGCTGTTTATTTTCAGTGATATGCTGCTTGGATTGTACCCTTGTCTCATTTACTGTAATGCCTTAGGGGCTCCAGTTGTAGTCAGAACCCATCATGTTAGGGACTACACAAACCTCAGCATATTTCTGTCTGTCCTATTTGCATGAAGACAGCTTGATTTATGTGTAACAACATCCTCTTGATTCTTCTGGCTTTTCAAGTTAATTCTTTTTTCTTTCAACAGGCATTTACCAGGGTACGAGACCTTAGATATTTAGAATTGATCAGCAGCATAGAGGTAAGAGAATGTTAGTGATAGTGTATTTTCTTACATTTAGTACTATACCAAAATCAGTACTTTCTATTTCAGAGGGACTGCTGTTCAGATAGCGCTTCTGACAGTTGGAGATGTGTTTGGAGTGAAAAGTCCCGATTAGGAGACATGACTCATTTTAGTCATATGACTGAAACTTCACGGAAAAAAAATGGGGGTGTGGGGCAATGAGAACTTATGAAACTGTCTTCAGGAAAGCTGGAAAAATGGTCAATATTCAGTTAATAATTGGTAGAATACTACTGTGCTAACAGAGCTTAGTACAGAATACTTCATAAATATGAGTTAATTAAGCCTTTCCTTACCCCCTGGGGGTAGGTAATTACTACTATCTCCTCTTTGCAGAGCCAAAAACAGGCCCAGAGAAATAAAATTACAAACTCAAGGTCTCATGATAAGTCTGTGGCAATTGGAAATAGTATTTAGGATTCCTTGCTTCCATACTGTGCTCTAATCACTTGTTCTTATTCTTTTCACACTTCTTGATAGAATTTCACTAGACAATAACTGTCTGTCATGGGTACCTTAAAAGACATGGTATCACACTTGCCCTTCTGCAAAGACTGCATGATAATGCTTAGTTTAAAGATCTGTGTTGAGATGGCATAAAGAAAATTTCTTTTTCTCATGCTAAGTAGATTTACAGCTTCTTTGAAAGAATACATTCCGTGTGTGTGTGCGCGCGCATGCACATGTACGTGTACACACCCCCCACCCCCATTTCTGCAGAGCTGTCATGGTTCTGTCAAAATGCCGGTTGGTTGCAGTGAACTTTTCTTGGTGTCTAACACGGGACAAAGTTCTGCAATAGGACACCTCCCCCCCTCTTTTTTCTTTTTTTCCTTTAAAGGGTAAACAGGTAGATGAGCACTACTACTAACCTTTCTGTTCCACATATGCTTCTCCAGATCTGCATCTATTGAGGATATTCTGGAATTGTCATGTTATATTCTCTTTAATGAGAAAGATTCCCTTTGTAAATAGGCATAAACTTACTTTCAGACTTTTTGAAAATGCTCCTTCTGAAGTGAGCGTTCTACATCACTGCTTACTCTTGCTTGTGGTGTATCGGATTCCTTTTAAGGCTTGTAAGGGTGTAACTATCTACACGTGTGCCATTAATGTGATGGTTTTCTTTCAGTAATGACACATTTTTTTCTAATTGATGACAGCAGGAAACATAACTGCCAAATATCTATAGGTGGCAAGATTATGTGAAGTCTTTAGAAAATGGTGTAACAATTCCTCTCATTATTCTTCCAACCAAGTTTTTAAAGGGAACTTTCAACATCAGTCCAGTATCAGCCTAGTCAATAAGCATGACCAGAACTGATGGCTGAGTCTCCTTCAGCAGTAGAGAATTGAATTTGTATGCTTGTGGAGTGCTTTTCCCCCTTTCATGCAGTTTTCTTTAAATTCAGTTCACATCTATATATTTCCATATGAGGTGGGCTAATAGTAGTAATAATTTTATCCAAAGCACAGTAGTTATTTGTTTCCAAGATATAGGATAAATATAAGCATACGCATTAAAACACACACACACACGTGCACATATGCGTGCATGTATATGGCATTGGTCCCTTGAAGTCAGTGCACCTCAATAGGTGTGATTCACGTAAAGGGTTTCTCTGTGGCACTGCACACGCTTTGCCTCTGTGGTCCCATCCCACACAATTGGTGAGCAGTTCCAGTTAGCAGGAGACTATGTGCAGGTGCTCGGGAAGCGACTGCTGCCTACCTGAAATCATGAGCTCTCACATGTGGGGACAGTGGCGGTGACACTGGTTTTTATTCACAGGCAGGCTAACATACTTTTTGAATCTGCTTATTGATAGCAATTGTTTTCATGTTTGTCATCCCATCTGCACATATTGTTAATTTAGCCAAATTATATGCTAGTGAGTTCCTACAGGAGAAAATAAGGAACCCATCAGATGCCTTTTTTAAAATAGTATAGCATAATGATAGTGTGTGTTCATTTTCCTGTGTGAAATCAAGAGAAGTGATTTTTCATCACTTTGGTGTGTATAGTGACATTTAATTTTGCTTTTCCTAATTTTAATTAAGAAGGTATTTAATCCTTTAATTATAAATTCACCAGAAATATAGGAGAGGCATAATTATCATATCCTGCTACAGGTTTTTATTAACAGTTAAAATCTAAGCCTGAAAATCTAATTCTTCAATGGCTATTTCTCACCTAGGTCCTGATCCTCTAGAATATTTTCTACATGTCTTTGGGTTTTTTTTCAGGAGCGGAAGAAGCATGGAGAGAACAACAATGAACTGTTCCTAGCAGATGTTTATGCCTACCAGGGAAAATTCCATGAGGCAGCCAAGTTGTACAAAAAGAGTGGACATGAAAACCTAGCTCTTGATATGTACTCTGATTTACGGATGTTTGACTATGCAAAGGTGATAGTTTGCAACTGAATATTTAAATGCAGAAATATTAATGTGCCTGTAACTATTTTCAAAGTGTGATCACACAGAAGGATTAGATGAAGTGCAGGCTTTGAATTCCAGCTTTATGTTCTCAGTTAACTGGTTGAAGTTTGTTTGGCTTATAAGGGGAAAAATGGCTATCTTCTGCGTCTAGGTGTAATGGTAGCCTTTTTCTCAGAGTCTCCTACTGAGGTAGAAGATAGTGTTTTGTCTAGTCTCAAACGTGTCCATGGAATTCATGGCTTTTCAGTGGATTTTTTTTTGTTGGACATCACCAAAGGTGACACTTTCATTGTGAGTATATAGTATTATCCATAGTAATTTTCCTTTTTTTAAAAACTAAAAATCTAGGGTTTATGACTGTTTCTTCCCCATTATCTCACTCAGGAGTTTCTTTTTATTTTTTTGTCTTCCAAAGATGATAATGTAATACACATGCAAAGTGGAAGTGAGTGTACCATGCATTTAATTCACTACTATACTATAATAAAAATATTTTTCTTTTGGAGTTTGAACTTAAATAGGTATGTTAGTTCTATATTAATGTATTATAAAGTGTGTAATACACTAACCTAGTATATTTTTGTTTACTAGAGAGTTTTCTTCCAAAGATTCAATGTCTTTTTCTTTTAAATTGTTTCCATGTAGAAATAGATTGAATATGGTTTAAAAAAGTGATGGTTTTATATGTTAATAAGAAAGCATTACTTGGCTTTTAAGTCTTCTGTGGTGGTTTCTTATCAAAATCCCTGAGAATGCATGCACTGTTTAGTCTCATCCATCACTCCTCAGAGCCTTATTCTGCCCCATACAGGACAAAGACTTTACCATGACATGCATATAAACTGTTTTAGCATAGATTCCACAAATTGTGTGTATACGGAGGGGTTAAAAGATGAATTTTGGTCCATGAGTGGACACTGGGTGAGAAGTAGATAGCCGAGAAAACTGCAGTGGAGGGGTTAACAGATGGAATTTTGGTCTGTGAGAAAACTGCAGTTAGCACAGGAGAAAACGGATGGCTGGGTAAGAAATAGATACTATGCTGAGAGAAAACAGCCCAAAGAGATAAGAAAGTTAATCAAGGCTAGGGGAGGATGTGGAAGACGTGCAGTAATGGAGGAATATAAAGCACAATTCACAATTTTGTTTGCCGTGTAACATTCTGCTATTGGCTTGAGCATGGTTGGTATGTGACTGCTGGATTATGGTAATATGCCGCGTGAACAAAGCCTACGAACCAATAGACGGTGTGGCTGTGGCGTGTGCAGCACACCTGGCCAGCAGGCGCATACGCCATAGGCTCCCTGTGTTCAGAGGTGGCAACCGAGGCGTGTTCCGACACTCGCTGGCCACGTGTGTCAAAACTCGTTCCTCTGCAAATGTATAAATACCGGGACTTCCCGAAGGGCAGTGGGCCGGTGTACTGCAAGGTCACCGTTGCCTCCGTGGGGACGCCCACGTAAAGCTGGCACCTACCAAGTGCTGGGCTGAGCTCGCGGCACAGGACGATACAAGAATGTACAGATGGTCCATCTTCCTCACAGTCCTTGGGTTCGTAAGACAATTGCTTTGCAAAATACCTTTAGTGTAATGCATGTCTGTAGTTAATAAAACGCTTGCTTTTTTCCCCTTGTAGTCTGTGTATATGTGTTTACCCTTCTCGGGAATCCTCGAAAGCACCCTAAAACACTGTGCTACAGAGAGATCTTTTTCTTCCAAGAGCTTAATATAAATACTTTGGGGCTTTGCTGATGTTAAGTCTGACTTCCACTATTTTTGGCTGATGAGACTTTGTTAGCTTCAGTGTTTTGGCTTCTCTTGAACATAAATGTAATTCATAGATGAAAATTTTCCCATAAGTCTTCGTAAGAATCTTTTAATTCTTGGCTGTAGTCATGTTTATATTTAACTAGCAGAGAGCAAAAGGTCTGGTGTCTCCTATCCTTGAGAGTAACTCCATGCAGAGGAAATTAACGGTATTTCAGTAGCAGATGAAGGCAGCTTCTTGTGCAGGGAGTGCATGACACATGGAAGAATATGTAAAACCCCCTTGTTTGCCAGTTATTTTTCCAAGGAAAGATACATGGCGGGGTGGGGTGGTATTGTGTTGGGGTGGTTTTTTATTAATTCTGCCAGAATTATGCAGAGAGACCCTTACAGAATCTGATTTCTTGTGCTTGACTTTGATTAGCTCTGGCTAGAGAGACCAGACTGGAGGCAGAGGTCAGGAAGTCTTTTGATATGTGGTCACAGGCTCGTTATCGCAGTACCAAATCACAAATTACTGACGACTCACAAAACACTCTTTATACTGTAAGAAACTGAACTTTTTATTTTGAACTTACTTTGGTGACCTAAGCTGGAAAACAAGTTGTGTCAAAGAGATTGTTCAACTTGATCCTTTTGCTTCAGTTTTTCATATTCAGAGATTATCATGACATCTTTATAGTTATTCACTTGAACCAGGTTCAGTAGATAATGCAAAATCCTACATGGAGCGCATGTAAGAGCTGACATAGAGATGGGATATAGTTCTGTACCTGTCGACTGGCTACATCAGGGAAACTGCTGATTTGTGGTGGCGGAACGGATCTGTTGTGTGGGTGCATTTTGTGGGGGTGTTTTTGCTTGTTTGTTTGTTGTTTTGTTTTTTTTTTTAAACCTCAGTTAGAATTTACCAGAAACGCAGAGGGTAAGGTAATTTTCCACTCTCTTCTCACCTTTCAATTTCTCTTCTGTTTTAATCTCTCGTTTGATAGACGCTGTTTTAATAGACAGTAGCCTGTTCTGTTAATACACAATTGCCCTTAATAGATCTTATAGTGTTGAAGTACTCTTGAAGT